AATAATTAGATTTTTATCAGGTTAGCGATTTAATGTAATAATTATAGTCATACATCCTATTAAATAGGGAAGCACCATTAACAAAAGGTCATGATGTGTCCTAAGTGAGCTATATTTGATTGATGATGATGATCACTCTAGTCAACCCAAGATACTAATAGTATACCGCCCCAGATATCACACGTAAGGTATTATATTACGTTCAGTGCACCAAAGAATAGTAGGTATTCTCAGGGAATATGTTCACACTGTTCACAGTTAGAAACAGGTGTTTACCATTGACATAATGGTGACACAACTAATTTTGACTTTTTTTATTTCTTATAAAGACAACTGAATGCAGTTTGCTACTAAAGATTAACCTGTTAAAAATTCAGCGACACCATGATACACCTCAAACCATGTCTTCGACAACAACAAAAGAACTGGTAAAGGTTATCGTATACTTATACAGAGTCCCGGTGTCTTAGTAACAGCAGTTCCCTGACTACCTCCCCTCCCTCCTATTACATCCATTAGGAGCAGAGTGGCACACCGTGTGGTTTTAGTCGGTCCGATTCCAACACACCACCCCGCCGCAAACCCCGGTGGGGTGACGGCCCGAGGGGGTTTCCACAGGTAAAAAAAAAATACAGAGTCATACGTATACTTTTATATATACATACGTATATACGTTGAAATGGCGCACACTATTATACGATTAGTCACGTCCCCTATTAAAATTTTACCTCAGTGCCTTTCAATTAACTCTCCCCGATCAAAGCAACCTTGTAAGGTTGGAAAAGCCACAAAAAGGCAAGTACGGTGTGCAGTGCGAAAATAGGTACAGCCAGACACTTACTGACAGTAAGTGACAGACAGACATGTAAGGCGCTATTAGACCGGGGTCATTATTCACGTCCCTTTGATAGGGTATTACAAATCACATGCGAACATGGCAACATAAATGAATATGATTAAAAAACAGTAACAAATGCAACAATGTCAATATTGTTTTCATGAATAAAAACGAGTGGTTTAAATTAATTTATAAATTAATTTAGTATTTATTAATAAGCCTAGGAATAACAACTTTGCTAAACTTTCAAATTCACATCACATAATAAAAATAATTTGAAATGAATTTGTAATAAATGTAACCAAACATGGTCAATGCACGTGCACAGAAAATTATTATATCTTAGATGATACGTAACCTAATTATCAAGGTATTGTGCATAAATTTATACAAATTGAATGGTAATAGGATGGAGTTGGTTAGGTAACCAATTATCACAATAAGCTAATACAGAAAAAAATTATTGAGTCAAAATATATAAATATTAATCTACCATAAAACACCATGTTGGAAGATTCGGACGTCCCGGTACGTAACATCCGTTTCGAGTTACAAGGGTATGTGACCCTAACCTGCTCAAACTTATTGCTTACACTGAGCAATCCAACTTGGATCTAATAATCAGATATTTGTCACAACCAACATGTAGAATAAATGGTCGCCTGCGGTATTTTCATAGTGATACGACCTCCAAATTCAAAAAAAGAGCGAATCTAGCGTCCTAACTCAAAGTTCGGCAACGCGCTTACAATTCCTGAATCGTATGTGTCTATTGGGGGCGATAGTCACTTTCTATCAGGTGATCCATGTTCTTTACACTCTATCTATCTATACACAAAACTGAATAAGGTAAAATAATAGCGTAACTAACTTTCTTGTCTGTCGACTTTTGGTTTATTCAACGGTCACCTCAGTTTTCAGTCTATCGTAATATCAGAAGCAGTTATCTTTTAGTATACCTGCTTCTGACATTAATAAGAGCATGATATCAATAACTTCTAATACAGTAGGCATCCACAACAACACCTGTTGTTGTAAAAGGTAGCCTTCCCTTCTTTCTTCTCTTTCCCTTAGGATACACTTACTCCTAAACTTCTCATCTTTATTTTATGAAGTACCGGTACTGGCTGGTGACGGCAAAAGACTGCCCTGACTGTGGATTACGTTTAATATGACGTTAGTGTGAATGTTTTTAGGTATATAATATAAAAACCACATGAGTATTATGCACCTTTCGCTTGCATGTTATCGTAATAAACACACCGTTTTTAGGTACATACAATTTATTTTCCACTATCGACACACTTAAATAGCGATAAGCAACTGTTAGTGTTTTTGTTTGGATAATAAAATGGGAACAGTTAATAGACGCTTTTATAATTTTCCGTAGCAGATGGAAAAATATTTTTCTTGAGAAAGAGCGGTACTTTGGAGCAGTTTTACACCTTGTAATCATAGTACCCGTCTTAATAGTTTATTCTTCTTTGTGTTATTCCTAGATTACACTTGAATCCCAATCATAGGTTTTTTGTTTTGAAAATACTATCTTAAGACGTAGCCGGTTTGATTTCGAAATATCATACTTATGTGATTTACCATAGCACACTTCCCCACTGTCTCTACTTAAACAGCAAAATGATTATACTACCTTAAACAGCAAAATGATTATACAGTCGTTTTATTAATCGTTTCAGCACTGACACACATACAAACATACACATGAAGTCACACGGACACACATAACTAAACGTATATTCAATTTTCATATTATTTAAAATCAACACACTTTATGTTACGTTAACAATAAATTTTCATTTACTATATCTTTGTCATCATTTATATCATTCAGGAGCCTGGCGACCCGTAACAGGTATTCTTATGCCTGTCTGGGGCAACAGTCTCTCACAAATTATACTTTAGTTACATTAAGTGATGAATGTGATGATGTATACTATTATCACATTCATCACTTAATGTAACTAAAGTATTCATCACTTCATTAACAATTTAAATTATAGTGAGCTCAAAATGCATGTGCTCTGTCTAATAAGTAACATTCTAGAAAGACAAAAAAAGTTATTGAAGTGTTTGTCCCTCATTAAAACAATCATATTAGTAATTATTAGATATGATACTAAGGTTTTTTTTTATTACTTTATATATCTCCATTAAACGGCCACCTGTAGTAGCAATATGTAACTTCTAAAGCCAGTCTAAACCTTCTTTTGAAATTCGGAAAAGAATAACTAAGTATAACATACAATATGCGAATGTGTATTTGTTTATTAGGTAATTTTGGAGGCTTACACACCTTAGTTACCGAATAGAAAACGGGGCAGGACACCTATCTCCAGAATTTTTTTCTAACTATCCTCTATATAGAATACTTATCATAACGCAAGCAAAGCCACATGCAAAAGTTAGTATTGTATAAATCTTGTAAGATATTTTTGTCTCAGATTTTTTTTATTAAAAAAGGATTGATCCTTTTATATGCAAATTCAGCTTCGATCTCTCCTGTCAAATCCTCCGGTAATGTAAACTGCCGTGAACAGTAACAAAACCTTTTATTCCGTTACAAGCCTAACTATTCGAGATAAATTTTAATTATACATTAAATTATAAAATACAACTACCACACTGTCTACTATTCTCCAAAGTCAACTCAAGATCCATTTTGCAATTAGCATGCTCTTTATTGTCATGACCTCCATTTGTGGTAATGTCAGCAAATTCATTGTGGAACTATAAAACCAGTAAGTACATATATTTTATAGAGACTTATTTGTAAAGAATAAATGTCACTGTGTGTATTAATTACAAATACTTGGTGGAGAATAATAAAACATTTACTTTTGATATTTGAAACTAATCGTCGGCGTCTCTCATAATTAAGATACTCACTTACATAATATTGCACAAGTTTTCAGGCTTTCTATTATGCAAGACTACAAAATACACTCTGGAATGTCTCTCAGTAGGCAGTATTAAAAAAAATCAAACTTCATTCGAACCAGAGCAAAGCCAAACCTGTTCCATTCAAAATTGTTTCCTCGTGTCCAATAACGATGTCTTAAACTAGTTTACGTCGCAATTATCCATCCATTGTATTAAGTTCCTTGTTTATGTTTATGACAGTATATGGAATGGTTAACTATGGTCTTATGATCTAAGGCCAATGCCTTAGTGAATAAATTTTGTAGAATAACATTTGTAAGCTGTTAATTACTATAAATCGTCCTTTATAGCAATTAACAGCTTACGAATATAATCCTATCTAAAACAGTACAGATTTATTTAATCTGTCCATTAAATAAATTTGTAGTTTTAGATTCATTATCGTAGGTATTCGTAAAAGATAACATTACTAACAACGCAAGCCACATTCATTGGAGATTAAATGCATTCATTCACGTTATTTATGCTCTTTCATGCAATATGCATGATTTGGACCGCTTTTAGCGTTTTCTATTTTAGTAATTCAAAGTTAAAAATTAGTGTAAGATTTCCAGTCTAGTATTGTTGGTGCAATTGCTAAACTAGCATTTGCAATTGCTATTTGTTTCTGTATACGTAGATAAAGTAGTATCCACTTGTTATTGTCCTTAATTTCTGATGCGTGTTTTATATCCAAATACAATAGTTGTTATACATTTACAAAAATATATTTTTCAGATACATATTTTTTTTTTCACATTGCTATATGCATTTTGGGTATATATTTCGATTGGATATGTTTTTATTTATCACATCTCACATTTGATAATATTAGAAATGCAACAGCATTTTTTTTAGTAATGTTACCGAGCAAAACAGAATTCAATTCCGTACTTTGTTATTTTTCTCAATGTTTGTGAATTATGTCAAGGTATAAGTACTTACGTTAGCAATAAAGCAAAGACGAAAATCAGATAAATCACAATTTATTCCTCAAAACAGCTTATTCTAACTTACACCTAGATTGGCATAGACTTTGGCGTTACAACATTATTTGGTTTCACTTCACAAATTGTTCCGACACTTTTTTCCGTGAGTACAATTCACTAAACTGTTGGCGGTTCCAACTTCATGATCCATCATCAGGGATTTCACACCCCGAAGGTTGAAGCCAAACAGCCAGCCGGGGCTACAAGTCGTCATCCATGCTTCTGGAATGAGTTGATCAAGGCTCTTCGTCCTCAGACAAAGACGGCAGTGCTAACGTGCGACGCAGCTTCTCTCGGCGATGCGGAGACACAGATTTTTGGCGACGGAGACCCTCTGTGTGCAGCACGTAGGACCGCTGTTGGGGCTCAAACACCTCCTCAGAATCATCTTCAACCAGCGCAGGCAAGGCAGTACCGCGAAGCTTCTGCCTCCTCGGGCAATCGGTAACGATGGTATCCATCTCGCGGTGTTTCAATGATGGGTAAGCATCAGCGTACAAAGCGCCAATAGTTTCTAGTTTCACAACCATGTTGATTTAGATTTAAAGACTTAGAAATGTGTAATTGGTTAAAAGGTTTATTGATCGCGACGTGCTCTCTATGAGTGCTCGCTGCAGAGTGAGGGGAGGCGAAGCGGCGCGCCTATTTATACTCTCGCGATCCGTGATAAATTGGTTTGTGTGCACTACGTCTGGCGTCACACCGCGTCTTATGTATTTACACTAAGGTACGGGTTCACTGGAGCCGTGTAAATACCACTTGGATCATGCTACTCATACTAGACACACCTTTGTACGATTTTCATCAACATAAACACGCGGTTTTTCCCAACGGCTCTTGTGCTATAGTTTCATTTCTTAGAAAACCAACTTTTAGATCTTTTCACAGCAGGAATCACTATTAAAAAGAATTGGGATTCTGTGCTCAATAGATATATATGTTAACTTATTGCGACTAATGTTTTTCCTAGTACGTCGTGTTAGAAATTAAAACAAATTATTATTTCCTTTAACGTTGTCCTGGTATTTAAACTGACATCGATTTATACTTTGTATGGACATATCTTTACAATAAAATAAAGATGGGCAGTCATCACTGCATAATGTAGGTACTGAGCTTGACCCGATTAGCTTGAAGCTGTATAAGTGAGAACAGCGACAATACAGCTTTCTGACCTTCGAATACAAACAAATAGATGACAAGCGAATACGGTTGTTCCTTGCATCACATATTGCATTTATGCCGTTGCATTGTAAGCTGATTGTACTTTTAATAATTTACTCTTCAGTCTTGTTTTTAGAATGTTTTTTATTCTACAACTTTACACCCTTTCTAGACCGGATTAAATCATCTATAATATCTATATACTAATACATAAAATCTTAATTTGTTGTGTGCGCTTAAAAAAGTCTGAAGTTCTGCACCGATTGTGCTCAAATTTTGACACGATATACCTACAATCCACTTCAAAGACTGTTTTTATCTACTTTTCGCGTTAGTTTTGTTCCTCATTTCCGATCAATGCAAGGAGCGAAGCGTGGCAGAGAACATCTTCACGTTGATTCCATACAAATCTTTTTATATGTAATATTAGTAATATTAGTAAAGTCAACACGTCATTGGTATAATAAAAACACTACACTTGCCTTGTGTGTACACAATTAATACATTAAATACGAAGTTTTATTTAGTTCATTTTATTATTTATTTCAAATAACATTTGAACCCTCGCGTCACAAAACTCCTACACTCCTCTATATCTAAAGGGTTTAGGACGGTGGGGTTCTTTTAAGGCCCTCTTGGGGTTACCCGCGTTTTATTGCATTTCTACAGCGTCGTATCACGTTGGTAACAGTTAGACGAATGAAATAATCAATAATGTATGGGAGAGCAGGAAAGAAAGATAGAATTAGTTTCGCTGTAGGTTTGTCTGTCGGGGTAATCTATAGTAATAATGTCAGGGATTATTGTCTTTCGGCAAGAATATATTAATACTAATCGAGTTCCTACTTCATCAATATTGATGTATGTTCTTTGTTGTTAATTCAATGAAGCTTACTTGTTCTACGTAATGGGGTTATACTTCCAAAGTAAAATCTTCCAAGCTATCGATATAATATGTAAAAACATTATGTATATAGACAGTACTACGCGTTACTTCTTATTTATACATGAACAGCCCTTAATAGTTCACTGCTGGACATAGGCATCTTCATAGAAAGGAGGTTTTGGCCTATTATACCACGCTCACCAGATGAGTTAGTATTGAGTTCGTGTCTAGTTTCCCTTCTCTGTATTGAATGCAATTTATTAATTGCAAGCAATGTTACGTTTATCCTAAAACATACGCATAGGTACTTTTTATTACGGATGCTAAAATTAAAATTATTGACTGACGTTGATAGACTTTTTCCTCAATACGTAAGGGGGGAAAATAAGAGCGTTTAATACGACTCTGCCTGGTTAGACATTTGCTTGCCAAAAGAGATCTTCGGAGATATAACATGTAAACATGGAATCTGGTTTTAAGTAAATCATCTTGTAGTGTATAGACCAATAAACTAAATAGAACATCGTAAACACAATTCTCATTTATGAGATCAAAGTGATGAATTTAAACACGAATTAAATCGAATGGCAGGACCAGTTTAGTAGCCTAAAGACGAAATGCTTCAACCAGTGTGTGTTACCAGTGATGACCTACGGAACTGAGACGTGGTCTCTTACTATGGGCCTAATCAGAAAGCTCAGAGTTGCTCAGCGTGCTATGGAAAGGGCTATGCTTGGCCTTTCCCTGCGTGATCGAATCCGCAACGAGGAGATCCGCAGGAGAACAAAGGTGGTCGACATAGCCCAACGGATTAGCGCGCTCAAGTGGCAATGGGCAGGGCACATAGCAAGGAGAACTGACGGCCGATGGGGCAGCAAGGTTCTCCAATGGAGACCACGTACTGGAAAGCGCAGTGTGGGACGACCGCTTACCCGATGGACGAGACACTTAACTACTAACTTTGACGGGCCTGTTGGTCTAGTGGTTAATGGCCCTGACTACTAAGCCAGAGCCGTGGGTTCGATTCCCACCCAGTACAAATATGTAAATAACAAATTAATCTTTAAAATTGTCCTATAAAGCTTATATTTTCTAAAAAAGATGGTTAACATAAACTAAACTATGGGTATTTTATACTAAAAGAGTTCATGGGAAAGCTAGATTTTTCATAAAATATTACTAAGAAATGAAATGCATGAAAATTCATGAAACGGATACATATCACGTTGCAAGCGAAATAAACAACACTATTGAACTATTGAACAAACATTGTAGAGGATAAAATGTTTAGAACACCTTCATAACTTGTTAAAATAAACTGTATATCCTTTTATGCTATCTGAATATCCTTTTACGGATACAATAACTTTTAAAATACTTACCTTTTAACCTATAATATGCTTAAATTACATGGAAAAATTAAATAAAAAAAATTTATAGCATTCACTCCACTCATGTCCACGGTGTTACTGCAGATCAAATTCGATGCAACATGGCCGCTCGACTGATGTAACTCTCATGTTTTGCATAACAAATGCAACTCGGGGACATGTTAATCACTAGGCACTGGTTGTTAGGTAGGTAAGGTCATTTCACTGACCTTTCTAGAACATGCTATAATATGATATAAGTGTTTGGAAGTAAGTAAATATGCATGAAACCAATATATATTTTGCAATCTCGATATCTAAACAGTTAAGTAAAGTTAAGCTATTATATTATTAATCGCAGAGGCAATAAGTAGAGCTAACATTAAAAACAATTGCCGAGGATTTGTGATTCACAAACAGTTGTCCCGAGACGAGATGTTAGGAAAATATTCTTGTCCGTGTGTAAAAGTTTATACGAAATAATTATCACATCATCGGACATCCGTCCGAGTGGTGACGGATTAAGAATACAGAGCCGACTAAGGGAGAAAAATACGCAGAACAACAACACTGCAAAAAGAAGGAAAACTTGACACAAATCCTATACCAACCCGTCTGGCCAGCGTGGTATAGTAGGCCAAAACCTCCTTTCTAAGGAGAGGCTTATGTCCAGCAGTGGACTATGAAAGGCTGTTGAATAAATTATTACATCAATTATTTAGCAGCTAACTACCGACTAAAGTTCCATGAAAATGGGCCAAGCCTTTCTGAAGATTATTTGGAACAAACACACAGTGACCAACATTTCAATTCGTTCAACAGAGATTTCAGTTGTTTTTGTAACGTTCCACTTAAACTAGAGCAAACTGAAAATGAGTCAGAGGTAAATAACCAAATAGTTAATGCCTTGTAAGGTGAATGTATAAATGAAAATCATCATTGCTGACTTGTTAGTCAGGATGTATGAGATATTTCATAAATGATGTCAGAGTAAACACTTTTTGACACTTCAAGTTTTTTTTTTAACCTTTTCTACTCTTACCTAATCCTTCCAAGTTCCCTGTTTTCAGCTGAGATTAGGTCTACTTGCGAAAATCTTAGTGTACTAAGCTTTTATTTTTCCTTTTTGACCAGTGGATGACAGACTGTCATCCGCTTCCTAACGGTTGGTCAGAGACTTTACTTAAAAGTCCTTTTTCATTATCCTCGGGTCTCGGGATATCGCTGCAATGAGTATGACTTAAAATGGTTTTTCTTGAGGTGTGGGGTGTGATCTTGATTGATTGAAAACAAAGAAAAACTCTTGACATGTCTAGGACAGGTATACATACTTAAACTGGCAACATAAGGGTCTTATGTATTTGGCTCAATAAAGTAAATTAAAAAAAGAGGCGTTAGAAGAAAAACTCAGTCTTACTTAATCTTCAAATTAAGTTAAAGTTAATGTAAATAGCAATAACTATCACTTCCCTTATTTGTCCTATTTCCCTGTATTTCTCATCCAAAAGTCCATTAAATAATGTACCTACCTATTTATGGCCTGACCGCCGTGAATCATGTTTTATGTGTTATATGTTTATGTGTTATATGTTATATGTGTTACTAAAAATTGCCAATTACCCCATAGTGATACATCGCATTTGCAAACATTATAAATAAAACAATTGTTAATCATCAAAATAAAATACAGCCCCTTTTCTTTTCAAATAGCCAACAACCCTATCCTATGGAGACAGGAGAATGTGGAGTTTCCAGTAAAAATCAACCCGACGGCCTGCCCTACTCTAGGGAGGAACCGGGCCATATGTCCCCACTCCAGTACAAGTTTTAGTAGTCTATTCGTTGAATGAAAAAATAAATTTTATAAAGATATTTATTATATATTTTATTTGTTCCTTCCTTTCTTTTTATTATTTTACACAATGAAATTAGGTATATTCTATGTGTACAAGTCATCTATGTTGATTCAAAGCGCGTAATCGCCTACGTTAATTAAACATGTTCTGATAAACACGATACATTATTCATGCATCTCTACTACATAAAAATTAATGTTTTATACGACCTGGTATATATGTATAGAATTTAAACGCTAATTTTACTACAGGAG